TGGTGATGTGACCATTCAGAATGAATGTGTATCTGTGTTAGTACCACATACTGTACGTGACCTGGATTAGGTTTTAAAAAAAGGCAGATTTGTCAGAACAAAATAGACTGCAAAAATTGCCCATCTAACCAAGTCTTACAATCTTATATCTAGCCAAAAGGTTTTTTTGATCTTGGTTTGAGACTGATATGTTAAAGAAGAGCAGAATGTGTTAGATTATTATTAATTTTGTTAGCCTGGAAATTTTCCTTATTTCAAGAAGTTATACCAAGTGCAATGGTCTTACTGCACTGTCAGATTRATTTGAGAAGATTCAGACTCAAATTAAATGATATAATTTAACACATTTTGCTTTTGCTTTGTATAACAGTCTCAAAACAAGATTAAGAATACATTTTGGCTGGATACACGCTTGTAAGACTTTTGGTTAGATGGATAACTTTTGCAATGTAAGAAAGAAATAGAGATGGGTTGTCTGTGGCAATAAAAATATCTAATAGGAGCTACTTTTGTCTGCAGTTGGAATGCATTCATAGACTGCAGGAAAGTCACCCTACTTACTGAGCCAAATGGCCTCTTTAGGAGCTGGCTGATTTTGATTCTATATTTTAGTCAAATCAAAATCAGTTCAGCTTTCATATTGCAAACATACATTACTGTGAAGACAAATGAGTTAAATTTAGGAACATTCAGCAACTGCTCTGCAGCAATCAGCAGATTTTCATCCAGTTACTTGGGGAAKTACATAGAAAAGTGGCCTAAAATCAGCTGTCACACATCCCAAACACGTCTATAAATAGAACAGTCTGTAATACATATTCATGTATTCTTGTGTCTGAAACATGTAATGTGCATAGTTTTAGTTTCTAGCAAAATAAAATGCAGCATCTTTCAAAGGTATTGGTTTGCATTTTCATACACTTGAAATATTTTAGTGACACACGGGCCACAGTAAAGTAAAATCTACTACAGAACAGACACATGATAAGGCAGCACTGATAGCTTATTGGCCAGTTTGATTGCTGTCTATGTTCTACTATAATTATTATTTCAGTGTGGCATTAACATCCTGATTCTGGCATGTAGCATACCAAAGCATGAACCCTAAGTTAACAACTGAATGGTCTTTTTGAGACAAAGTCCCTCACCATCCAATCATTTAGCCCCAATGCTTGTCTGAGGTCACACCATATAAAGCAGATTACGATTACTAAGCAGAAGAAACACAAATGGGTTTGGATTCTTGGTCAGAAGTAATTAAACATTTTAAAATGAAAGCTTACAAATCAGCTTGGGAGTGCAATATCACCACCAGTTAAACTAAACCATCATTGTTACAAACAGGTGGGCTGTTAACCCTAGAACAGTGAACTTGGTCAGGGTTTAATGCGTGCAGATCTAACACTATGAAGCAGCCCCTAACACAGAGAGGCCTAACTGTGTAAATATTTGTGCCCAATTAAATCAATTACTCTTTCATGCATTTATTTGGACCTTGGGAGAATAAGAAGGTAATAAGGGAACAGGAAACTCCAAAGAGAAGGACCCCAGCTGACATTCTTACTGACATTAATGCTTGAAGGCAACTGCACTAACATCAAKATACTTTATCTTCAATGTCACCATCAGTTTTCCTTTAAATAATTATTCCCCAGGAGGCATAAATCAGTTTAATCTCAACTACTGTATATCCAAAGCTATGTGTCAAAGTAGTAAACTAATTACTACATGAGTTAAAATAGCTTTACACAACTTTTCAAAATTACATATAAACATATTTCTCAACTGGTCTCTTCAGGGAATAGAGTTTCTGGGGTTTGCAATTGCTTGTTACTGTTTAACATGAAAAGAAAAAATAATAATAATAAAGGAAGAAAACTGAATTACTATGTAGGAAAAAATTACATTATTAAATATTTTTTTAGAAAGGCAGCTAGATCAGCCCGCATCAAGCCACTGTCAGAATATTTGATATAATCTGACAGTACAGCTGTGGTTGGAAATAGCAGCTGATCCATCACTGCAGAGGCAAGCTAAATCTATGCCTGAATGTTTGATGAGATCCTTTAGCAGCCCCGCAGGATTCTCCCCTGCCTGTGTTTGTCTGTTTAAATCCTGACAAGACCTGCAGGTCAGAAAAGGTCTGAAAACTCCTCTGCCCTCTGCTGCAAAAACCCAAACAGCCCAGTTTGTTTCCTCCTTGCATTTTCTGATAACAGGAGCCACAATGTTAAAAACAAGCATAAAAAGTAAGTAAATTTAGCTGCTTTACAGTAACTGACAGCTCACTTGATTCTGCTTTGTTCTAATGAGGTGATGCCCCATCAGTTTGGCTCTCTGGAGCGTAGTGGATTATTTGCACGTGGTGAGTAAACAGAAAGTGCTGGCGTATCGGAGGCGGTGCAACAATTACTGCACATATGTGGGCATACTGAGAGCACAGCGGGTCCAAAACACAGCCACTTTTCGTACGTTTTGTTGCACCGCCTGCCTGATCTTAGTTAGCCTTTGATTCTCTGCAGGTAGCTGTGGGTGCTGCCGGGTAACTCACTCTGGGTAAAACGTGGAGGGTTGTCGTTGACATCAGTGAGCTTGACGGTGACAGTGGTGGTCCCGGATAATCCTCCTAGGTGGCCGCCCATGTCTTTGGCCTGAAGCACCACTAAGTACTGATCCTGGGTCTCCCTGTCCATATCGGGCACGGCTGTGCGTAAAATACCTGGAAAAACACACAAACATTAAGCAAAAAAAGAGTTTTACAATCAGCCTTCACCACTATTTCAYTATCCATAAATAAACCTTCTGGCATCCAAAATTTACTTTTTCTTGTTTTCCTTTTTTAAACCCCGGAGTTAACACAGCCAACTTATTTCACCTTTTAACGGCAGCAAATCTTGTAAGCATTCAGGAATGTTTTCACACCTTTTCTATTATGAGTTTATCACTTTGTCAGACATAAAGCTAAGGCTAATTACCACACTAATGATTAAAAATTACTCATTTAGCATTTGTGGATCAGCAACATGCCATTAGAAATTCTATTAACAGATGTTATGATCAGGCTTGATGGATTAATATAATGCAGCGGGCTCACATTAATGACTTGAGGTGCGATAAACTGAATGAGTCGCTTTTCAAACATTAAACAGCAAATACAAAGCAGTTGGCATATTATCTCATAAAGTTGTAGACAGAAAATTTGAATAGACAATTTGACCTTTTATTAATGACATTTAAATTTATAACAGCACAGTTGATGGCCTGTTATGAAGTGAGAAAGTCACGGACCCATTTGTTTAAGACTTCATTAAAGCTACATTTAGACTTGTTTGTAGTCATTAATAAAATAGTTTTTTATTTAATTTGCAAACCATGTAGCCCCCAGCTACAAGTGCTACTAATGTTGTTTAATGAGATTAGGTCCAGATGCTCTGCAGCTTTTTGAAATAAAACCAATAGCTCAGTTGATTTTAGACATTTTAAACTTATTAAAAATGTCAATTAGCCAGTAAATTAGTTGGGACTTTACGGTGTATTAATAGAAGCCAGTCCACAGCAGAAGACCATCATGACTCCTTCACAACATATATCTTTGTCACAATCGATGTGCTTTCTTTGAGAACTTCTCACACTAGATGATGACYCCACTCTTGCATGACCTATTAGAATGTGGCTGGATTGCAGCAAATGAAAGAAAACTCCTTTAGTGTGAAAGCAATCATGATCCTGCGACACTCTTAATTCTTGCCAAAGTGACTTTTTTTTCTGCTACTTTCCGTATCCCAGAGAGCCTGCTCTGCACCCTTACCACAGTGCATGTGCCCACCCTGGTACGACTCCAGGGGCGCGACAGGAGCCAGCTACACGTTACCCCTGCYGTTCTTGGCCTCGTGATTAGCATCTCGTGCCAAAATTGACATCACATTTTTGTRTTTCAGCCTGCTGTGCACAGGAAGAGCAGCAGGATCATTTCAGCAGGTATCCAATGTGACATTTTATTGCAGATATTACTTAAACTTTAAAAGCTGCTTYGATAAGATGAAACTTGACTTTTATGTATGAAGGATGCACTACTTGAGAACAACTTTTCTTGTTCCATTCCTACAACTTWGCAGTGTTTTTCAGTCGCAAGGCCTGTTGTTTAAAAGGAACTCCAGTGATTGCTGCACATCTGAAACACCTGCATAAAAAAACAACTCTGCTCTCGTTGCCTCAGTTGGCTTCTCTTCCATGAGCTTGAGCACCAGGATATATGTGACTTCTAAAAATCACACAATGCTTGCATGATGCTGCCACCGCAGGTATCTTGTTAAGTTGATCCCATGAACTTGTCAGGACATCAGTCGTAGCCTGAGCATATGGTCAGTGTGGTCAGTCCTGCTTCAAATTCTTCACGGTCAAGCAATTATTGTCGACCAATCATGTAATGAGGACTTCTTCAAGACTCTGTTAAAATCATTCATATTCTGGCGGAGTTTCCACATCATAGTCTAGTGTGGAAGGGGTCATTAAAATATATTTAATAATCTATTAGCTAGAKATAATAAAATCGTGTGTTCTATCAGAACCAGGTTTCACTTTTCGATAACGTAGTTATACTTTATTTATGTAACCACAACAAGCCCCTAAAGGCTGAGCCCTCAGGCAGTCGACGTTGTTCGCAGTTATCTGATCACTATCAAAAGGTAATCGAGTCATGAAGTAGTTGGGCAAAGGCTTCATGAAATGCGTTGCAGTAATTGAAGCGTCCTTGTTCTGTTTGACAGATGCAGTCCCACGTAAAGCTCTTTGGCGTCCGTTGTGCCCTTTAATAACCTACGGCACAGTGTCAAAAAGCCCTGTCATCAGGCTGCTGCTGTGGCGTCACTTTTTGACATCTTGACAGTTTTTCAGACACTTTGGTAACCCTCATTTTCCATTTGACAGCAACAWTACACAGTTATCCAATGTTCTTTTAAAGAAGCTGAACAACAAACACAGACATACAAACATGTACATACCCAGATATTTACAGTAAAGGGACATTTGTTTATGAAAAAAAGTGTGTGTATACATATGCATACCCATATATTTAACAGTTCAATTCAATTCAATTTCTTTATTCATTTATTTAAAACAAAACAAATAATTTTATATACACTATACAGTAAAAAGAAAAATATAAAAAAGAGAAAAATATATATGTATATTAAATCACAAATAAAATGACAAGAAAGGCAGCAGAGAGAAGAAAAAAACTCTTATATCTGCCCCTTTTTCCCAAGAATAAGTTCATATAACAAAAGAAATCTGTTATAAACAAAACAAAAGACACGGCCATCTAATTCCTCTAGAACAACAATTTATATTGATAAACATTATACTGTTTCATATTTCTTTAACAATCCAACGTTTATCATTTTCTTAAATGTACACAGTGATCATGCATTTTTTACATCACTCTTTTGAGTCCTTGTTGTAAAAATGTTTTTTTGCAATAAATCTTATATCATTGGAATGTCTGTTAATTTCTTTTTTATATGGTGCTACATTTGTAAGGAACATGCATTTGTGGGATGAGCAGTGGAGCTTAGTATGTGTGTTGTGCACACAAAAATTTAGTATCCCCCGGGTGTTGCTAATCAGGTGCCTGGTCAACACATTCTCACTCCCGAGTCGTCACATATTGACGTTTTTCAAAGGTCCCTTTGCGTCCAATTTTGACGCATCAGGTACCCCCCTTGCGTCAGTCCTTGCCGCCCGCGGCTTTTCCGGGTTGCGCCACCAGGGGTCTTTGGGTCGGGGGTCTGAGGTTAACATTAGGGATCAGGATAAATGGTTAAGTTTAGGGACTGGGGTCAGGGATAGGATGTCTACAGTGAACATTAGGTAATTTTAGGCTTTGCAACACGTAGTTGCCATGAATTTCCTACATTTTCTAAAAATGGTTAATTTTACGTATCAGGGTTAATGGTTAATTTTAGGTACTAGGGTCTGGGACAGGATGTCTAAAGTGAATAAACGTAATTTCACGCTTTGGGACGGTAGTATTTGTGCATTTTCTACACTTTSARAAATTACGACAACAGATTCCGCCCCATCCCGTCAAAATATGACGCAAAGGGGGTACCTGATGCGTCAAAATTGGACGCAAAGGGACCTTTGAAAAACGTCAATATGTGACGACTCGGGAGTGAGAATGGGTTGGCCTGGTATAAGATTACTGCGAAGCAGTAATCAAAGCAAAAGGTGGCTACTTTGAAGAACCTAGAATATAAGACATCTTTTCAGTTGTTTCACACTTTTTTGTTCAGTATATAATTCCACATGTGTTAATTTATAGTTTTGATGCCTTCATTGTGAATCTACAATTTTCATAGCCATGAAAATAAAGAAAACTCTTTGAATGAGAAGGTGTGTCCAAACCTTTTGTCTGTACTGTATATACTGTATACTGTATATACACACACAATGGCAGTCTGACTGGGAGTCAATTCATATATCGTGTGTCATTGTTCAACATTGATCACCTCCTCTTTATTCATGACCTCATTCTGCTACATATGATAGGAAGTTGCACATTACGTGCTGGCAACTCACATGACTCAGCTCAAGGTTAATTAGAGTCAAACTAGGCTGCGCTGAATGCTAACGCACAAACATGCAAGTAAGTGGAAACGTCTAACGTCATGAGCAGAATTCCCCAACAAGCAAGATGAACTTTCATGTAAAAAGGTGCATATTTTAAATAAGACTTTTGGTGACAGAGTCAATGTCAGACAGGGTGATTGAAAGAGGAGCAAGAAAGAAAACCTGGTCAGAATACAAAAGCTTTTTAAATATCCCGGCATTATCACATGCTTTGATCACACATCGCACTTTGATTTAGGGTTGAATTCCAAATTAGCATTTCAAAAATCAACACAGCACTCATGCAGCAAGGCAGTCAATTACTAAATGATACTTCAAATAAACAAAATGGATCTCTTAACCAATTATGATGTGCAGGCCAAATAAATCCTCCTATTAAGGCATACAGTATGTAAAAAATATCCTTTGAAAGCCTCATTGTCGACTAAATGTTAAGTGTTTCTATAAAAATCAGGCATCACACAGACATTTTCATTTGCAAACAGCTTTGGCTTCCTTTCCATTCAGTGTTCAAAAATAAACAAAACATAAGAAAACCAAAACATCTGCACCTTAATAAAAGCCTTTGCCCTCCGGTGACATGTGTGCTCTTAGGTGACACAACATACAGACTCTTCGAGGCCTTAGCAATCTGTTGAATTATAACTCACACACCTTTCCTGATGTCTGTCTCAAACATCAAGTTCCCCCTTTTTTATTCCTTCTTCTGATTCATGCAGAAATAACAACAAGCTGTTAGAGTGTTTTGTGCAGCATGAATACATTTTTGCAGAGTCATACCACATTGGGGTGGGGAGGGCTGACGAGTGTGGGTTCGTGTGTGTCTGTGTGTTTGAACAGAAGGGGCACAACTGGAGAGAGGGAAGCTGGAGAGATCGATGGCGACAAGAAAACGAGGGAAGCACAGGTGGGAGAGGTGTTGAATTGAAAGTGTGTGTGCATAAGAAGCTCCACCTGTGTTTGAACACCTATAGACAAGAGTGTGTGTGTGTGCGTGGG